CACATGGTCACACACATCCAAGCTGCAGTGAGACCAGGCTGACATCTGCAGCCAGGTGTTGGCATCTGTGACTATCTCACTGTGTTAGACTGTTTTCACACTGCTGTAAAGAACTGCCCGACTGGGTAATTTATAAAGGAAAGAGGTTTAATTGACTCACAGTTCATCATGGCTGGGGGAGCCTCAGGAAGTGTATGATCCTGGTGAAGGAGAAGCAAGGAATCTTCCTCACAAGGCATCAAGAGAGCACAAAGAGCCCCTTATAAACCCACCAGATCTCGTGAGAACTCACTATCACAAGAACAGCATGGGGGAAACCGCCCTCGTGATTCAATTACCCTTCCTGATCTCTCCCTTGACACGTGGGGATTGTGGGGATATAATTTAAGGTGAGATTTGAATTATGTAGACGCAAAGCCTGACCATATCACTAACTGCAGATAAACAAGAGACTTCTCCCTTTTCCTTTCAGTGACACCTGCAAGCCAGAAACACTCAGAGCGTGTTTCAAAAAAGGAAGACAGGAGTTGGCTGGAAGTCCAGTAAGGACACGAAGGTGGCCTTTCCAGGCCAGCTGTGAGGTTAGCTTGGCTCTGGCCAGAAGAGGTGAGGAGGAGAAGTCTGTCTTTGTGGCCCAGTGAGGCCCCTCTTGCTTGTGTCTCATTGACAGCGTGAAAGTACTCAAAATCAAAATAGAGTCACTTGTGTTTAAAAAAAAAAAAAAACTGAAAAAGAGAGCCATGGAAGGCCATGAAGAGTACTTGTGCATAAAGGCCTGATGACAGGAACCATCACAAAAGACTCTGCAAAACCCGCAACCTTGCCCAGAGGCCCTCGTAACTTCACACACAAAAACTAGTTCTGCAAGGACGCCTGCCCAGCCACTGTCTGCCCAGCCTCGCACTGGCATCACCCTTGCTATTCATCCTCAAAGCCAAGGATAAGCCTCTGAAAACAGCTATGTAATCCGATTCATCTTTCCTTTAAAAAGCCCTTGTCTTTTTTGACCTCCCTGAATACGCACATTATTAAGATGAGCGTATTTCTGTTCCAACGACCTATTCCCAAGTAACTACCATTGTCTTTTAGAGAGCCTCCCTCTGTTACTTAGATTGACAAAAGGTGTTCAAGCTCTGACCCAGCAAGTCAAACTCTTATTTATCATACAGAATGTCCACACCTGTATGCAAAAGCGACCATGCAAAGATGCCTGCTGCATCACCCTGGCCTATCCCCCATCACCACCATCCCACACTTACCGTGCACTTTCTCCACCCTGAGCCTTTGCTGTTTTGGAGCTTGAGAACTTGTCCCTCCTCTCCATGATTAATTGACACCCCTCAGAGTTCATGTCACTTCCTCCAGGAAGCCCTCCCTGATATCCCTATAAGGCCATAGCCAAAGACATGTCCAACCTACAGGAAATCCTGTGAGAATTAATCTGTGGCTCCCTGTCTGGGTGGAAAATTAGAAAGGGCATTTCCCTCGGCCAGCACAGTGCTGAAGGTTTGCAGCCTAAGGAGGGGAAGGGGTACCCCCTGCCAGGCAGGCACAGTTCTCCAATCAAGTGCAGTTGGGTCAGTGAAGTGTGGACCAGATTTCAGGTCCCTCCCACTGCACCTCACAAACACAGGGTGACCCCAGTCAATGAAGGGACTGAACAACCACGCAGGCAGCCCCATGACACATCTCCACAGTACCCTGGGCTTTGCCTCTGCAGCAATTCCCATACTTGTCAGTTGACATGTTATTTCTGAGGTCCTTTGATGAAAATCCATCTCTCCCTCTGGACTGTGGGCTCCAGGAGGGCAGAGCCACATTTGATCTTGTCACCTGATATTCCTAGACCAGTCCTTGGTTACTGGTAAGTGCTCAAAAATACATATTGAATTAATACTCAGCAGGCAGAGCATTGGAAGACAATGGGGCATGTTGTCACCTGGTCTGAAAGAACCACTGGCATGGGTGCTAAATGACAGTTAGACTCAAAGGCTTGGATGTGTCATGAAGAGGTCTCTCAAAGGAGAGCCACTTTCCTAGACAAGAAAGTTCATTTTACTTTACTTCCAAAGCCTGCACGCCTCTTGCTTGCAAAACATACCAATACTAACATAAGATGCATCAGTTTAAACACTGGAGAGACACAGAGGCCGCACTATCGGTGCCATTTAAAAAGCAATTTTAAATTACTGAATGAAATCAGACCTTCTTACATTATCATGAAAATGAAACAGTGAGAATTTAAATAACAAAGGATTCACACATACACATATACATGCATGCATACCACCAGCATCTTTTTCAAAATAGAATGCCCCTTGCATTTTTTTTTTTTTTTGAGACAGAGTCTCTCTCTGTTGCCAGGCTGGAGTGCAGTGGCATCCTCTAGGCTCACTGCAACCTCCGCCTCCCGGGTTAAACCAATTCTCCTGCCTCAGCCTCCTGAGTAGCTGGGACTACAGGCACTAGCCACCACGCCCAGCTAATTTTTGTGTTTTAGTAGAGATGGGGTTTTACCATGTTGGCCAGGATGGTCTCCATCTCTTGACCTCATGATCTACCCGCCTTGGCCTCCCAAAGTGCTGGGATTACAGGTATAAGCCACCACGCCCAGCCCTTGCACTTTTCACAAAGCAGCTGGTCTTAGTGATCTTCCCATATTGACAAGTATAGATTCATCTCTTTTCAGGTTGCTTGTTTATTTATGTGCCTCACTTCATTCTACCTGAATTTATTTACCCTGTCTCCAATCCATGAACATGCAGAAGGCTATTACAGACCACGCTGCAATGAATATTGTGAAATATGCATCTTTGCATACATATGTGAGCATCTCCTTAAGATAAACGACCAGAAGCAGAATTTCTGGGTCTAATTGTGCACTAGCTCTAAATGAAGCTACAGTAGCCAAAATCTGTAACACTAAGCCACTAGTTTGATCCACACATTAATGTATTGTTTGCATGTTTATACATGCACATAAGTGTGTATGCATCCATAGATACACTTACACACACAGTTTATTTTCTCTTTCCCACAGGTCCTAACACTGAGGTGCTCATGATCACAGCACACTAAGAATGGCGTGCTCTCTCAAGAACGGGGATGTGGCAGCCTCCAGGGCTCACAGTGCCCGTTTACACCTTCCTGAAAGGCCAGGGCATTCCTCCTCTCTGTTTCATCTTCCACCATTGTCTTGATGTCTTCAAAAATCACTCTCCCTTTTCACTGGACTTCTTGATCTTAAGCTGTCTTGCCCCCCTTTACTCAACAGACTTCCATTTCCAAAGGAGAACAATAACTGCATGAAAAATCCTATAAAAGTTTCAGGAGGGAGCAGGTGGAGAAGAAAGGAGGAAAGGAATAGGGAGCTCTCATTTGAGAAGGCTGCATGAAAGGAAAATAAAGGAGACTCCAGCTAAAAGGCACAGCCGGGACCGGTGAACTGGGTGTTTTTCAAGCCACGAGAGACCTGAACCTATTCAAGTACAGACTGGGGGAGGCCAGGGCATGGAAGGGGCCAGGGACCACGGAGGAGGGGACACCTATGCCCTGTCCTGCCTCAATGGGCTGATTCCAGTTGTCCTCAGAAAGAACTCACATCTGCCTCCTTTGGGAAGGCCCCTGACCCTCCTGGCCAGAGTTAGCACCTCTGGTTAAACTCCATTTGTTTATTCATTCATTAATTCCTTTACTCATTCACTTATTCAAGTTACACATGTATATTGAGCGCCTGCCACTACACATGGAAGTTAGACCTATACAAAAGTGAGGCACCTGTCAGACAGGGATGAATAGCAGGTGGGGTAAGATCCTGGAAGGACAGGCTGGGTGGTGGGAAGAATACAGGGTTTGGAATCTGAAAGACCTGGCCTTTGCTCATCCAGCAGATACTGGCTGGCACTAGCTCAGTGGCAGGGTGTGGTGGGCACTGAGGATTCCAGAAGTGAGCTGGCCCCTCCCCACTGCATGACCTTCAAGTTATGGACACATGCAAAGACAAAACGGCTAGACACCTGCAGAAGGACATGGTGAAGGTTGACAGGGATGAAGTGATTGGGCGAAAGGGCCATTCAGAAAAGAGTAAACAAGGAAAGATTCCATGAGGGGTGACTATTGCAGTGATATCAGAACAACTATGCGAAGCCACCTACAGGAGCTTCTGAAAAAAGCATTCCAGGAAGAGACAGCAGCAAGTGCAAAGGCCCTGTGGTAAGAAGAAGCCCAGTAGTGATGTTTGCTTCCAGAACTAGATGAAGGTATACAGGTGGAGGGGAGTGAGGCTGTGCAGCAGTGAAAGAGGCAGGAGGGAAGAGTATGGAGGGGAGAGATGATGAATGAGGAGATCACATGGGGTCCTGCAGGCTGCTGTGAGATGGGGCTTCCACTCCAGTGTAAAGGGCAGGCCATGAAGGATTTTGGAGCAGAGGAGGAAGGTGTCAATCTCATCTATGTTGTAAAGGACCACGCAGGCTGCTGTGCTGAGAACAGGCAGTAGGGGTGGGTTGGGAGGTATCTTCTTCCTGATCTGTGGTGTCAGTGGGTTCTGAGAGTCTCTGATTATTAAACGCCAGCTTTTCTAGACATGGAGCTTCAAGGTAGCAAGTGTATCTGGTTCATCTCAAATTCCTGACACTCAGCACACTGACGGCCAGGTGGTGAATCTGGGTTAAAGCTTTGCTAAAGGGGGGAGAGAGGAAGAAGGCAAGGACTCTAGGGAATTAGTAAAGGGCAGGGTCAGCGGCATTGCATTTATTTCTTAAATTCTGTTTGGATCTGCCTGTGGACTTATCTTGCTTATTTTGCACGTGACAAACTGCTGGCCGTTTAGCTAAAACTCAGTTCTATTTCGGGCAAGACTAGCATATAGCAGCAGGAACTATTGCCAAGGACTGGCTCCTTCACCAAGCTCCAGCAAGCATGAAAAATCTCAATTCAACAACAATTTGTTAAGAAAAACCGGATCACTGATGGAAGAGGGTGGCATGGCCCTTCCCATCTTGAAGTTCACAGTTTTAATTGCAGGGCGTAAGGGCAGATGCAGCCACCAACACATGGTCACAGCATCAGTCCTTCCACTCACCAGGTATACCAGTGTCACAAGCATCAGAAGCAAACCACACACTTTGCTTTAGGGAGTAAGATTTGTGCATTTTAATATTTTTGTTGATACATCTGTGCTTCAGTGGGAGGCAGAGGAACTGGCACTGAAAAAATTCCAGACTCTCTCTCCAAAGACTGCATATTATGGCCACAGACTTTGCATAGCATTTCCTAAGGCATCTGAAGTCCTTCTGTGGATCTCTGGTGAAGAACGTATTCCTTCAGGACATTAAGGCAGAGAAACTGCGGCAGTCAACAGAATCCATGGTGCAATTTCCCAGAAACACAGTGTTTCCTGGTGGGAACTGAAAGAACATATAGGTCTTGGCTAAACAGAACAGCAAAATAGCAAGCTTGACTTTGGTTTTATAGATGCTTTGGAGAGCTGACCTCTTTGTTTGATGGAGAAATCCTCTTGCTCCCCTTTGGCGAGGCTAAAACACACACCTTAATGTCAGAGCTGAAGTCCCTGGGCGCGGCTGTCTAAATTTCAGCAACTAAGCTCTGTGTAGGGAAGGCGTGTGAGTCCACACCGATGGATGGTTGGCATGGTCTCACAGTGTAAATGGTCAGTGAAGGGAAAGTTCACAGTTCAGCTCCACCATGCATACTGAAGAGGACAGGAAGGCTTAATTTTCATAATTCACAACTGGAAAGATGAGAAGATGTATTTTTTTATTTACATGAAACCTCAGAGTCTAGAGAACACAGACAACCAAGACACAAATATGCTAGGAAGGCCCTACATGCCTGGATCTTTTATTCTCTTTATGATGTCCACAAGTTCATGGATAATTCTCATTTTAAAAGGTGGAGGCTAATTCCTCCCACCTCAAGTATGAGATATACTTAGTGCTTTGCTTCTAACAAATAGAATGTAGTAAAAGTGACATGTGTAATGTCCAAGATTAGAACCTAAGGGGCATTGTGACAGCTCTATCTCTCATATCTCTCCCTCTTCCCTCCTTGTTCTCTCTTGGGGAAGTTGCCAGCCACCATATTGTAAGGACACTCAAGTAGCTCTGTGGACAAGTCCATGGTGCTGTGGAGCTGAGGCCCCCAGTCTACAGCCATGTGAGGGAGTCATGGTGGAATTGAGCCTCCAGAGGACTGCAGCCCCAGACAACATCCTGACTGCAGTCTCCTGAGAGGCCCTGAGCCTCAATCACCAGCTGAGCCACTCCGAAATTTTTGGCCCACAGTAACTGTCAGATACTAAATGTTGTTTCTTTAAAGTAACTGAGTCCTTTAAAGTAACCGAGTCCTACAGTGGTTTTTTTACACAGCAATAGAACGTTCACTCTCAAAAGTCCCTCTCTTGGAGGTAGAATGCTGCTCTTTCTGAGCATTTGCTCCATGCTAGACCCTGTACCAAGTATTGTATGAAATGTTTCTTCTTGTGACAACTCTACCATGTAGACAAAGTTAGACCCATCTTAGGGCAAGAAAAGTGAGTCTAGGTGATGCCAAGAAACATGCCCAAATATCATAGCTCTCTGTCTCAGAGCCTGATTGCAAGCTCATGACTCATAAAAAATCTCAAGGGTTCTCTTTCTTCGCTTGATGGTTGCACTTGGCTTATTTGCCCACAGGAGAGCAGAGACTGGATCTGCCTTGCACTTTCCTTCATCCTCAGTGCCCAAATAATATGGGAGGCATCAACATGCCTGACAGAATGGATTCATGGCACAGGTAAGTGGTGGAAACAGGGCTGGCACCACACGGCCTCCTCCAGCCAAGGGTTTTCCTACACTTGAAATTAAATCCACATGAGAGCTAGATGTGTTAGCAAAGTAAGAAGTGGGATTAGATGCAAACAGAATCCGGTAGCAAGGAGCACTCAGGATGAACGGAAGTAGCTGGGTTCAAGAGCTGCGCTCCCATGGGCAGGTGATGGCCAGCACCAGCTCTCCTGAGTAAAAGCTCATTGCATCAGTGAGGCGTACCTGCAAGGGATAGACCTTGGATACCTCCTTTCAGTCATGCTGAGCTAATCTTGGGGATATAGTGAGGAACAAAATGAAAGGAGGGTTGAAACCAAGCACTGCTCCTCTCTCAGGGGAGGACTTCCCACCTGTGTCTTCCTACTCTCTGACCCCACTCCCCTCCATCTGTCAAGGACTCCCTTTCTTCCCCTGTCTTCCCCATCAACATTGTATTAAGATTTTCAGAGGTTCTAAGGACAGAGAAGACTACGGTGTCCCTACCAGATTCATAATTCAAATTAAATCCCTCCAATAAACTGTAAAGTAAGTTTAAAATATCCAACAAAGAGCTCTGATTCTTTTCATAAGACTCACCTGGATGCATTTTTGAAAATTCTAATATCTTTTTTCTTTTTCAACAAGTGCTTATAGCATAATGACAGCTAACACATCAATGGACACTATTTTAAGACCTTACATATATTAACTCAGTGCATGCCCCTAACAGCTTAGGAAATGGGGGCTGTTATTTGCATTTTCAGATGTGGAAACCAAGGCACAGAGAGGTTAAACAACCTGGTGAGTGGCAGAGCCGCAACCAGACCTCAGCAGCCATGCTGTGGGGGAGGGTATGCTCTTGACCACCACTCTGGGCCCACTGCCCTCCCCTGGCCTCCCCTTCCACCACCCTCCCTTCCTTCCCAATCAGGATTGGAAGCCTGAAACACTATTTAAAATGTGAGAAGTCAGAAGTTTGAATTGCTCTGGAGTTTCAGGAGGCCATCCTCCCAGTGTCAGCTGTCCAACAGCAGCAAAGGCACCAGGGGATGTTGACTGCTTCTTCCTGCCTCCTGGAATCTCCTTCCCTCCTCATGAGAAATGACCTTAGCAGACATTTATGGAGGACCTGCCCTGTGCCAGCAGCTGTGTTAGGTTCTTCACTGCAACAAGAACCCTGCCCTCCAGAAGGTATTGAAGGATGAAGATAGGGCAACGGTCATTGCCGGTCATGAGGCAGATGTCTCAGGCAACCCCTGTGGGCCTAGAGGATTTATATCTCTAGAGGAAACAGCACATGGTTATCTTCCTTTTTTAGGAGCAATGGGCAAAGGACAGCCCAGAAGCAAACACTGGACACAAAGGGAATGTTTTCTGTGCAGGAGCAGGTGGACAACTCTGGTGAAGAGTAGTCATCAACACCGGACAGGGAAAGCTGGGTCCTGGTGCACAGAAACTGACTTCTCACATATTGCACCCTAAAAAGAAACTCATCTCATGGAAGCTGCGTTTACCCCAATCATCTGGGCAGACCACCCAGCCACCTGCTAGAGCAGCCTGAAGAACAAATATTTCTGGCATTCAGGGCTATGAAAGAGAGGGGAGAAGACTTCTCTTCTTTGGCAGAGAAGACTTGAGGTACCCCAAGGGAAAAGGGGAACACTATAAAGGATTCCACCAAGGCTCCCTGTCACTGACTCAGGACTGAAACACTGGCATTGCTCGTGGCAACTGGTGACTTGGAGTTCCTTTCAAACTCTGAGGTTCTGTTTAAGTAAGTGAAATTCTGACTCTGCCTGGCTAGGATGTTGAAGACGGCTTACCAGAGGGCAAATTAACTTCACCAAACACTAAGGGAAGAGTAAATATGTGGGGCCTGGGGATGGTCAAGAGAAGAGGGAGATGGCAAGTGGAGGTCTAGGCTGGGGAGCACGGGCCACATCTGGGAACAGGTGTTCAGGATGAGACAGGGCACACGTCCACACAACACCTCCACCACTCGCCCAAACATGGCACCATTCTAGGGGATTTTCTCAGCAAATCCTTCTGCACAAGAGTAGTCACTGTCCATGCAAGTGAATAGCCAGAAGCATAGGAGTCACACCTGCCAGCTTGCTCGTTCAACCCTCAAACTGCAACTCCAAGACCTTGGCATCATAGCTCTGAGATGTCCCAGGAATGCATCCATCCCTCCCTTTGCCACCACCACCATCATTCCCTTCCCAACAGAATTCAGATTGGTCCCCTGTCTACTCTGATCCACTGTCCTGGGAGGAGCCAAGAGGTTTTCCATTCATGCCCCTGACCATGTCCTTCTCCAGCAGAAATGTTCCTGTCTCTCATTGCTCGTGAGATCCGAGATGCTGCCAGGATGTCCAGGGGGGTGAAAGGGCTGAGTGATGTGCTGCAGATGGCAGGAGGTTGTGCAGGGAGTGCTGCTCTGATGGGGAAAAAGCTTTCCTAGTCCTATCATGGTAGGGGGATTTCTCTTGTTGGCAATCAGGGAGTTAAGTTGGGAAGGAGAGATAGGTTCTACCTCTCAGCCTTTTGGTCTCGCACTGCTTGGGGTGCTTAGAGTGAAGTGCATAATTTCCTGTCATTGAACTCTCCCCCTAGGCCTACCCTTCAGCACAGAGTGATCTTCTTCCACTCCAAGCCTGCAAGTTTTGACCTCTCCCACCCCACTCCCCACAGCTCCTGGAGCAACCAATCATCCTTCATGTAGGTCCGTCTTCAGTTTCACAGCCTCAGCTGAGCTTTCCTTGGCCTCCTGGCTGCACCAGACCCTGAGGTATTTGCATGGGTATCACCTGCCCTTTCTTCTCCTCTGCAGCTCTTTTCCCAGTTTAATTTCACAGTTATGGGTGTATTTTTAAATTAATGCCCCTCAGCCAGAAGCATTGGCTCATACCTGTAATCCCAGCACTTTGGAAGGCCAAGGCAGGAGGATTGCTTCAGCTCTGGAGTTTGAGACCAGCATGGGCAACATAAGGAGACCCCATCTCAAAAAACAAAAAACACCTCTCCCGCACTGGACTATACACACTGCAAAGGTAGGAATGAGGTTTGTCTGGTTCACTATGACAAGGCCAGGCCCAGCGTGAGCTGAAGATGGGGCAGATGATCAGGCATATATTCTAGAACATCCTGGAGAGTCACTGTTGAGTGCCAGGACCTTGACATAACCACACGTGACATGTGGCATCAGGGGAAGACAGGGATTCTGTCCCGAGGACCCTAGCAACTTCTCTCTATGTAGCTCAGGCTTGGTGGAAGAGGCGGCTCTTGTGCCTGGGTTGGGGGCCCACAGCTCTGTGGAATCTAAGAATTGGGCAGAGCAGAAGGGCACCCTGTCATTATCCAAATTGTACCTTCTTAGCACTGGCTCATGGTGAAGTAAGTGAAAAAAATTGAAATCACAGGCTAATTTGCCATGCATTCAAATTGGGATGCAGGCCACAGAAGTGATAGATGCAAGCATAGCAGGGAGGTGTGGTCTGGCCTCGGGTTAGAGACAGTGAAGTCTTGATAATCTACCCTGTTACCATTGTTCAGTGTCAGGGCTGTTTCAAAGGCCAATAAGCTCTCCTTCTACTTTCTCACTGAAGCTGTAATTTGGAGATATGTTCCTTTTGTTTGAACTTTTAAAAGGAAAAATAACATAAATTAGGATATAAATTCTAGAAACTGTGAACTTCCTCCAGGGTTGATAAGGGCTTTCAATGAGTGTGTGATGGAGGCACTGCTGTTTTCGAGAGGAGAAAACTAAAGCCTCAGGAATGTAAGAGACTTTCCAGCTGCGGAGCTGGTAGTTGGCAGGACAAGGACTCACCCTGCAGGGCATCCAGGGCAGAGCAGATGTGTGTGCACAGCAGGGGCTGCTGCTGCCCTGTGCTGACACTGAGGAGCCTGCAGTCCAGAGAGGGAGACCAGAGGAACAGTTACGGACGCTTCTCGCCCAGCGGTTGTCTGTCGGGAGTCGGAGGATGGGGTTACTATCCTTGGAATTGCAGGATATTTAGCAGCATTCCTGGTTTCTATTCATTACATGACTTCACTCCAATTGTGACAACCAAAAACGTTTCCAGACATCTCCTAAGCTCCCTGATAAAGAGGAGGAAAATGTATGCAAAATTCACACCCCACTGTGGGAGATGAAGGAGACGTAAGTAGAAACAAACCTCTAGGGTTTTCTACGAAACAGCCCCTGCTCAGTCTCCTTAATACAGCTGTTTTGAACTTGTGATGGTACAAATTTTAACTCAAAATTTGAGCTTTCCACGACTTACTGAATGTTGAAGTGAAGAAACATGATTTTGGGTAAAAAGAGCTATAAAAAGGAAACATTATTTTTCTACATCTAGAACCAATTTCCCAGGGAATCCTCCATGCTTTCAAGAATTCAGCTTAACAAACTGCTCCTGGGAGCTACTTCCCATAAGATGCCCATGCAGAAGTACTCGCGTGCATTTTTTATGAATCATGCATGCAAATGGTTCTGAGTTTAATTTCCATCTCTTCTGGAAAATAAAAAGTTTATGAAGGCAAGAACATGTCTGCCTGATTCATCTTCAGATACCCCAGGTCTAACCTGGGTCCTTGCATTTGTTAGCGCTTCAATAAATATTGTCAAATAAATTTTTGTGTATCAATCCTTACAAAATCCTTCAAAAATTATCAGGGTAATGTACAACTATTATGTATCCTTAATAAATAAAAATATATTTTAATTATAAATTGAAATCAGGTGCGTTGGCTTCTCAGGTGATCCACCCTCCTCGGTCTCCCAAAGTGCTGGGATTACAGGCATAAGCCACTCACTGTGCCCGGCCAAAAAATAATAATTTTTAAAAAATAAATAATTAAAAATTGAATCTTTTCATTACCCAGGACAACAGATAAGATGTCTGGGAAGGGATACATCTCTTCTTCTGCAGGCTTTAGCCACAGACTCCCAGACATCTTGGTAATATGAAGTTGGATGTCTAAAGCTACAGGAAAAAGATTAGAGTTTTCAGAACCAACACAGGAACTTAACAGAAAACCTGAAAGAAACCACACAGCCTTTGAAAGGTAGTGGGCAGCAGGCTACAATGTGAACTAGGCAAAAAAAATAACACCGTGCTCAGGAAGGAGAAATCCTTTGCACAACCTCAGCTATTGCCAACGCCTGCATTATTACCCTGGCTGAACAGGAGATCTTGAGTCTGTCGAGGTACCCAGTACATTAGGACTACAGCTGGAATTTGAGACAGCTAACACACTAAATCTATTTATAACCAAGAAAGTCTCACAAAGTTGATGCCATACCACTCCCATCCCATTAGAATTGGTGCTGGTCTCCACTATCGGGAGACTAGAGGACAGGTCTCATCACTGGATCCCTTGCAGACATTTTCCAGCATGAGCCTAGAGGGTGGCAGCCCCTTTGGGTGGCTAGACCCAGGAACAGCAGGGTTCACAGTGATCTGGCCCTCAGGGACTGCTATTCCCAGGCGTAGAGGGAGTGTACAACATTAAGGGAATACTCCCTGGGACAAAAGTAACCAGAGTACAAGCCCTGAGTCCCTGAACTTTCTGCCTGTGGGAAGTTTCTTTCAGCAGAGACACAGGTACAGTGCTGAGCTCAGTGGGGAAAGTCCTCAGCTCTACAACAGTCAGGCAGCCCTGGTGCTCATGAAGGATCTTGGATAAGGGGGCGTCTTCTCCCTTTTGCCCACCACTACAGACACAGCTGGGGCATCGCTCATGGGAGCTCCATGTGAGTGTGTTCATAGACAGTCTTTCTGAAAAGTCTCAGAGTGACTGTGTCTTCACAGGAGGGTGCCCTCCAAGTTCAGGCTTATATGAGATGTGGAGTCATGATCCCTGTCTACATGGAACATCAGTGTTCCTGCAGATGAAAAGAGGTGCTTGTCTGATCTGAGTAGCTGCAACGCTGGGTCAGGAGTGACTGGGACATGAATAGCTTTCCTGCTGGCCTGGAAGGAGCTGTGGTGGCCCCCTCCCCTCCCCCAAAAACACACTGGTGCATTTTACTAAGAGGTTATGCAGCTGCTTCTGTCAAGGCTAGGACCTCTACACACCACTGGGCTGCTGCATTTGCCCACCTGCTTTAGCTACAGCCAGTTTTTACCCATGGACACCTCTCACTGGCCTAAAGTCTGAACTGTTCAACCCAGTGAGTAAAACACTGGGGCAAAAAAAAAAAAAAATTAAGTGCATACCACTGGGGAGCAAGATGTTTCATGAGGCCTCTTCCATTCCAGCCCATAGGAGACAGCACATTGCAGCACGTTGTTACCACAACCAGCATCTGAGAAAGCAATTGCACAAAGATTCTCTATAACCACGGAACTCTTACACAGTCTTCACCACTGAAAACACCCAGATCCAAGCTAGGTGACAATAAACTATAAATGCTGAAGTCACATCCCTAAAAGGAAAAATAAGAAATAATTTTTGAAAATCCAGTCAAATAAAAAATAAATATTCAAAATAATTAGAAGAAATAATCTTACCAAATGAGAAGAAACGAGACAAATGATTCTGGCAATATAAAAAAACAGGGTTCTATAACACCCCCAAAAGATCACACTAAGTCTCCAGCAGTGGATCCCAACAAGATGAGATCTGAAATATCAGATAAAGAATTTAAAAAGTTGATTATTAAGTTACTCAAGGAGATACAAGAGAAAAGTGAAAGCCAATAAAAGAAATTTAAAAAAATAATTCAGGTTATAAATGAAAACTACTCTAAGGGATAGATATTATATGAATGAATTAAAGGAGCTGAAAAACACAATACAAGAACTTCACGAAGCATGCACAAGTTTCAATAGCCGAATTGACCAAGCAGAAGAAAGAATATCTGAAGTCGAAGATCAACTCAATGAAATAAAACGAGAAACCAAGATCAGAGAAAAAAGCACAAAAAGGAATGAACAAAGTCTCCAAGAAATGTGGGACTATGTGAAAAGACCTAACCTACGTTTGATAGGTGTAGCAGAAGGGGACGAAGAGAATGAATCCAAGCTGGAAAATACTCTTCAGGACATTATCCAGGAAAATTTCCCCCACCTAGCAAGACAAGCCAACACTCAAATGCAGGAAATACAGAGAACACCACAAAGATATTCCACAAGAAGAGCAACCCCAAGGCACATAATCGTCAGATTGAACAAGGTTGAAATAAAGGAGAAAATACTAAGGGCAGCCAGAGAGAAAGGTCGGGTCACCCACAAAGGGAAGCCCATCAGACTCACAGCAGATCTCTCGGCAGAAACTCTACAAGCCAGAAGAGAGTGGGGGCCAATATTCAACATTCTTAAAGAAAAGAACTTTCAACCCAGAATTTCATATCCAGCTAAACTGAGCTTCAGAAGTGAAGGAAAAATAAAATCCTTTGCGAACAAGCAAGTACTCAGAGATTTTGTCACCACCAGGCCTGCTTTACAAGAGCTCCTAAAAGAGGCACTACACATAGAAAGGAACAACCAGTACCAGCCATTCCAAAATCACACTAAATGCTAAAGAGCATCAACATAATGAATAATCTACAACAACTAACGGGCAAAACAGCCACTTAGCACCAAAATGGCAGTATCAAATTCACACACAACAATATTAACCCTAAATGTAAATGGACTAAATGCACCAATCAAAAGACACAGACTGGCAAATTGGATAAAAATCCAAAACCCATCAGTGTGCTGCATCCAGGAAACCCATCTCACATGCAAGGATACACAAAGGCTCAAAATAAAGGGATGGAGGAAGATTTACCAAGCAAATGGAGAGCAAAAAAAAGCAGGAGTTGCAATTCTCATCTCTGATAAAATAGACTTTAAAGCAACAAAGATCAACAGAGACAAAGAAGGCCATTACATAATGGTAAAAGGATTGATACAACAAGAAGAGCTAACGATCCTAAACATATATGGACCCAATACAGGAGCACCCAGATACATAAGGCAAGTTCTTAATGACTTACAAAGAGACTTAGACTCCCACACAATCATAGTGGGAGACTTTAACACTCCACTGTCAATATTAGACAGATCAACCAGACAGAAAATCAACAAGGATATCCAGGGCTTGAACTCAGACCTGGAGCAAGCAAACCTGATAGACATTAAAGATAAACCAATGAGAATTTCTAGGAAAGCAACACAGATTGAACGAACTACAAATGCAGTGGAAAGTTTTAATGATATACTATAGGCAAGTAGAGGAAAGAAGTTTTGATCTGGAAGACAAGGCTCTCAAATTAACCTAATCAAACAAAATTTTAAAAGAATGGAAAGCAATGAACAAAGTCTCCAAGAAATGTGGAATTGTGTAAAATGACCAAAACTAAGAATCACAGGTTTTTATGAAGAAGAAAAGGCAAAAAGTTTGGAAAAAATATTTGAGTGAATAATCAAGGAAAACTTCCCTGGCCTTGTTAGAGATTTAGACATTTAAATACAAGCAGTGCAAGGAACTCCTGATAGATTTATTGAAATAGAACATCACCACAGCTTCAGGCTGCCTAAAGTCAACATGAAGGAAACTGACTAGCTATGTGGAGAAAGCAAAAACTGGACACCTTCCTGACACCTTACACTAAAATAACTCCAGACGGATTAAAGACTTAAACATAAGACCTAACACCATAAAAACCCTAGAAGAAAATCTAGGCAAATCTATATCCATTCATAGGAGTAGGCAAGGACTTCATGACCAAAACACTAAAAGCATTGGCAACAAAAGCCAAAATAGACAAATGGGACCTAATCAAACTCCACAGCTTCTGCACAGCAAAAGAAACAGTCATTAGAGTGAATCAGCAACCAACAGAATGGGAAAAAATTTTTGCAGTCTACCCATCTGACAAAGGGCTGATATCCAGAATTTACAAAGAACTAAAACAGATTTACAAGAAAAAAACAAACAAGCCCATTCAAAAATGGGCAAAGGATATGAACAGACACTTTACAAAAGAAGACATATATGAGGCCAACAATCATATGAAAAAATGCTCATCATCACTGGTCATTAGAGAAATGCAAATCAAAACTACATTGAGATACCATCTCATGCCAATTAGAATGGCGATCATTAAAAAATCTGGAGACAACAGATGCTGGAGAGGATGTGGAGAAATAGGAACACCTTTACACTGCTGGTAGGAGTGCAAATTAGTTCAACCATTGTGGAAGACAGTGTGGTGATTCCTCAAGGACCTAGAAATAGAAGTCCCATTTGACCCAGCAATCCATTACTGGGTATATATCCAAAGGATTATAAATCGTTCTACTATAAGGACACATGCACACAAATGTTCATTGCAGCACTGTTTACAATAGCAAAGACCTGAAATCAACCCAAATGCCCATCGATGGTAGACTGGATAGGCAAAATGTGGCACATATACACCATGGAATATTATGCAGCAATAAAAAATGATGAGTTTGTGTCCTTTGTGGGGACATGGATGAACCTGGAGAATATCATTGTCAGCAAACTGACACAAGAACAGAAAATGAAATACCACATGTTCTCACTCAAGGCAGCTGTTGAACAATGAGAACACATGGACACAGGGAGGGGAGCACTACATACTGGGGTCTGTTGCAGGGAATAGGGGAGGGACATTGGGGGGTGGGGAGTTGGGGAGAGATAGCATGGGGAGAAATGCCAGATATAGGTGAAGGGGAGGAAGGCAAGCAGATCACATTGCCACGTGTGTACCTACGCAACTATCTTGCATGTTCTTCACATGTACCCCAAAACCTAAAATGCAATTTAAAAAAAAGAATTCTAAGAGCAGTGAGAAAAAAGCATTAGGTCACCTTTAAAGGAAAACCTACCAGACTAACAAAAGACTTATCATCAGAAACGTCATAAGCCATAAGAGATTGGGGTCCCATCTTTAATTTCCTTAAACAGAAGAACTGTTATTTAAGAATTTCGTATCCAGCAAAACTATGTTTCATAAACAAAAGAGAAATAGTCATTCTCTAACAAGCAAATACTGAGGGATTTTTGTCAATACTAGACAAAAACTGTAAGACATGCTGAAAGGAGTACTGCATTTTGTAACTGAAGGTTGATATGCAGCAGAGTAGAAACTCCTGAAAGCATAAAATTCACAAGGCATATAAAACACTTAAGACAATGAAGAAAAACAAAGTCACTAGGTAACAATCAACACTATGACTGAATCAGTTCCTCACACCTCAATATTAATGTTGAATGTAAATGATCTGAATGCTCCACTTAAAAGATACTGATTGGTGGAATGAATTTAAAAAATCGCAAACCAAATATCTGTTGTCTTCAGGAGACAGACCTAACACATAAGGATTCTTACAGACCCAAGATAAAAAAGTGGAATAAGATATTTCATGCAAATGGAAATCAAAAGTCAAAAGGAGTAGCTATTCTTGGATCAGATAAAGCAGACTTTAAAGCAATAACAGTGAAAAAAGAAAAAGAAGGTCATTATATAATGACAGAAAGATCAATCCAACAAGAAGATATAACAATCCTAAATACCACATGCTGCTAACTCTGGATTCATAAAACAATTACCACCAGACCTAAGAAAAGAGAGAGACAGCAACACAATAATGGTGAGGGGCTTCAACAATCCACTGACAGCACTAGGCAGATCACTGAGGGAGAAAGTCAACAAAGAAACACTGAACTTAAAATGCACCCTAGAACAAATAGACCTAACAGGTGTGTACAGAACATTCTGCCCAAGAACCACAAATTATATATCCTCCTCAACACATGGAAAATTCTTCAAGATAGACCATACGATAGATCACAAAACAAGTCTCAATACATTTTTTAAAAGTGAAATCATATCAAGTATCTTCTCAGACCACAGAGGAATAAAACTAGAAATCAATTCTAAGAAGTCTCTAAACTGTAGAAATATATGGAAATAAAAAAATATGCTCCCAAATGATTTTTGGGTTAAGAATGAAATCAAGACAGAAGTTCAAAATTTTTTTCAAAATGAAAACAGTGACACTACATATCCAAACCTCTGGGATACAACAGAAGCAAAACCAAGAGGAAAGTTCATAGTGCTAAACATCTGCATCAAAAAGTCTGAAAACTCACAGATTGACAACCTAAGATCAACCTCAAGGAAGTAGAGAAACAAGTACAAATTAAACCCACAGCTAGCAGGAGAAAAGAAATAACAAAGATCAGAGAAGAACCAAATGAAATTGAAACCAAAATCAATGCAAATGATCAATGAAATAAAAAGTTGGTTTTTGAAAGATAAACAAAATTGATAGAACACTACCTAAATTAACCAAGAAAAGAAGAAAGAAGATACAAATAGCTTAACTAGAAATTAAAATGGAGACATTATAACTGACACTACAGAAATACCAAAGATCATTCAAGACTTCTGTGAACATTGCTGTGTACACAAACTAGAAAATCTAGATAAAATGCCCTTAGCTTGAATCAGAGAAAAAGAAATAGAAATCCTGAATAGACCAATAACAAGCAGTGAGATTGAATCAGTAATAATAATAATAATAATAACTACTAACAGAAAAGCTCAAGGCCAAACAGATTTACAGCCCTTTTCTAGCAGGCATTCAAAGAATTGGTACCAATTCTACTCAAGCTATTACAGAAAGTTGAGAAGAAGGGAATCCTCTGTAACTCATTCTACAAAGTCAGTATCACTCTGATACCAAAGCCAGGAAAGGACATAACAACACGACAAAAGAAAACTACAGACCAATATCTTAGATGAAAATAGATGGGAAAATCCTGAACAAAATATTAATAAGCCAAATCCAACAGCATATCGAAAAACTTTCACCATAATCAGGTGGATTTTAACACAGGCATGCAGGAATGGTTCAACATATGCAAGTCAATAAATGTGATTCATCACAAAAACAGAATGAAAAACTAAACCATGTGATAATTTCAATAGAGGCAGAAAAGCATTCAATTCAGTCCAGCATTCTTTTATGATAAAAACCCTCAACAAACTAGGCATAGGTGGAACATACTGCTAAATAATAACAGTGGTATATGACAGATCCACAACTAACAACATACTGAATGGATAAAAGCTGAAAGCATTCCCCGTAAGAACTGGAACAAGACAGGGATACCCAGTTTCACCACTCCTATTCAACATTGTGCTGGTAGTCCTAGCTGGAGCAACCAGGCAAGAGAAAAAAAAGTAAGAGGCATCCAAATTGTAAAAGAGGAAGTTAAGTTATCTCCCTTTGTCAATAATGTGATCTTACACCTAGAAATCCCTAAACACTACTCCAAAAGACTCATAGATCTGATAAATGAATTCAGTAAATTCACAGGTTATAAAATCAATGTACACAAATCAGTAGCACTGCTATACGCCAACAATGTCCAAGCTGAGAAACAAATCAAGAACACAATCTCTTTAAAAATAGCTACAAAAATAAAATAAAATACCTAAGAATATACTTAACCAATGAGGTATTAATAAAAGCTTTCTACCAGGAGAATACAAAACACTGCTGAAAGCAATCATAGATGACACAAACAATTGGAAATGCATCCCGTACCTATGGATCGAAAGAACCAATATTGTGAACACATAAATTTACAGATTCATTGCAACTGCTATAAAAACACCAATATCATTTTCCACAGAATTAGAAAAAACAATCCTGAGATTCATATGGAACCAGAAAAAGAGCCTGAATAGCCAAAGCAATCCTAAACAAAAAGAACAAATAGAGAGGCATCACATTACCTGACTTCAAACTGTACTAAAAGCCTATCATCACCAAAACAGCATTTTACTGGTATAAAAATAGATACCTGGACCAATGAAACAGAAGAGAGAAGCCAGAAATAAAGCCAAATACTTACAACCAAATGATCTTTGAAAAAGCCTACAAAAATATAAACTGGGGAAAGGACACCCTATTTAATAAATGGTACTGGGAATATTGGATAGTCACATATAGAAGAATAAAACTTGATCCCTGTCTCTCACCATATATAAAATTGACTCAAGGAGAATTAAAGACTTAAATCTAAGATTTGAAACCATAAAAATTCTAGAAAATCTAGGAAAAACTCTTCTACATGTTGGCCTAGGCAAATAATTTATGACTAAGACTCCCAAAAGCAAATGCCATAAAAATAAAAATAAATAAATGGGACCTAAATAAACTAAAAACCTTCTTTACAGCAAAAGAAATAGTCATTGGAGTAAGGAGATAACCTAGAGTGGGAAAAATATTTCCAAATTATGCATCCAACAAAGGACTAATATCCAGAATCTACAAGGAACTCCAACAAATCAGCAAGAAAAAGATAGCCCCATTAAAAAGTAGACACATAACATAGACATTCTTTAAAAGAAGATATACAAGTGGCCAAAAAATATGAAAAAATGTTCTATATCACTAATTATCAGGGAAATGCAAACCACAATGAGATACCACAATTAAAACCACAATGAGATACCACCTTTCCTCAGCCAGAATAACCATTGTTAAAAATTCAATAAACAATAGATGTTCTCAGGGAAGTGGTGAAAAGAGAATGCTTGGACACTGTAGGTGGGAATGTTAGTACAATCTCTACGGAAAACAGTATGGAGATGTCACAAAAAACTCAAAGGTTTATTTCCCTCATATTGACATAGTATTTCCCTCATATTGACAACAAAATTAATACATACTATCACTATAGATGCCCAAGAAATAGAAACTGTGTGGACTATCTTGCCCACTACAATCCTAATTTTAATTGCCTCCCATCCCTACGTATCCTGTACATAACAGATGAAATTAACAAACTCTCTCTCACTGTCAAAACAATTGGCAACCAATGATATTGAAGCTATGACTATATAGATTATGAAGACGTAGGCTTCGATTCTTATTTAGCCCCTACAACAGACCTAAAAGTAGAACAACTACGACTCCTCAAAGTTGACAATTGAGCAACTCTCCCAAAAGAAATCCTTATTAGCATATTAGTCTCATCAAAAGATGTTCTGCACTAACAGACTGTCCCATCCTTGGGCTTCAAAACAGATGCAATCCCTGGGCACTTCAATCAAACTACACTAACTGCCACATGACCAGGCCTTTACTACAGCCAATGCTCAGAAATCTGTTCCACCAATCCCACTACTGCGTATCTACTGAAAGGAAAAGAAGTCACTATATCAATATGACACCAGTGTCTGTATGTTTATCACAGCACAATTCACAATTGCAAAGATATGGAACCAACTGAAGTGCCCATCAACTGATGAGTGGATAAAGAAAACATTATACACACACCATGGACTCGGCCACAAGAAAGAACAAAATAATGGGCAGCAATTTGGATGGAACAGGAGGCCATTATTTTAAGTGAAGTAACTCAGGAATCAAGAACCAAAAATCACATGTTCTTATTTATAAGTGGGAGCTAAGCTATGAGTATACAAAGTCATACAGAGTGTTATAATGCACATTTGAGAATCAGAAAGGGGAAGGGAAGTGAGGGATTCAAAACTGCCTGTTGGGGACTATGTACACTACTTGAATAACAGGTGCACGAAAATCCGGACTTCACCAATAAACAGTTCATCTGTGTAACAAAAAACCACTTGTTCCCCTAAAGCCATTGAAATAAAAAAAATTAAATACAACAAAATAAATGAAAGCCAAAACAATAATCAAAATAACAATTATAAATATCTAGGTATCTATACTCAAGAGTCACTATAAGGTGAAAATTTGCAGAGAAAGTGATGTGAGAACCTCATCAATGTAAAATGTGGATAAATTTAGCTCTAACCTAATGGCCATGTCATTGATTTTTGTCACTCTGCATCTCTTCTATTTTAAAAATAATAGTCATCAGCTTCTGTAATCAAAAGTCTCCCTGTAAATTTCATGATTTGGGGAGTATTGGTTGTTTTTGTAATAACACCTGCAGAACAATCTTTAGAACCTTGATTAATTCTGTCTGACACACAGGAAAAAAGAGAAAAACATCTTTTAAAAAGCTGCAGAGTTTTTAGTGTGAATAATCTGCTGAATATTCTAAGAAGGGATTATAATTCTAAATATGTAACAGTACGAATATTAGAGAAGATTCTGTGTGTGTATGTGTACTTATGTGGGCATGTGCCTTGAAATACGTACATTCATGTTTATCTGTGTAGTCTGCATATGTGCATATTTGTATGCATGTTTATGTGTGTATTCTGTGTATGTGCATATTTGTGTGCATGTTTATGTGTGTATTCTGTGTATGTGCATGTTTGTGTGCACATTTATGTGGGTATTCTGCATATGTGCATGTTCTGTGCACATTTACATGGGTATTCTGCATATGTGCGTGTTCATGTCCACATTTATGTGTGTATTCTGCGTATGTACCTGTTGCATGCACGTTTACATGGGTATTCTGTGTATGTGCACGTTCCTGTCCACATTTACGTGTGTATTCTGCATATGTGCATGTTCATGCCCATGTTTATGTGTGTGTTCTGCATATGTGCATGTTTGTGTCCACATTTATGAGTGTATTCTGTGTATATGTATGTTCATTTGTATGCATGTGTGTATGTTTACAAAAAAGTAGATAACTAAACTATTGCAGAGAAAATCAGAAAACTTGGCATTTTGCAAAAATGACGAAACTTACATTTTTCTATATGGGCTCCAGAGTCACTATCTGGATTAACTTACCCAAATGCTGTTTTCAAACCGTTGCAAAGGGAATAATATATAATAGTTAAAATAAATGACAGAAAGCCCTTGGTAAGCATGGGTACAGTTATTAAATGCCCTGGTTGTACCTCAACTCTTCCAGGACACATAAAACCCCACAACTATAAACAAAATGCTTGGAGGCAGGATCACCCACTGAACGGGATGTCCCAGATCACAGGCTTTCTAGAGGAGGGAGCACTTCAGCTGAGACGTGGATTCTGGCAGGAGGAGGACAGGGAAACGGCCTCTGTCTCCGTGATGCTGTCAGAGCACTGACTCTCTCTCTGCAATACTTAGGCCCGTTTGGTGGTGGTGAAGAGTATGGCCCATGTCCAGAAACAGATGCTCACCAAAACCACCTGATCCTTCACAAAAGCGATCCTGTAGTACAACGCAGTTGGTCCTTCTTCCAAATTGATGTGCTAGGTCAATAGGATTTCTACGTGTGCAAAACTGGGTCTGCACTCCACACAATATGCAAAACTCCATTCCAGTGTACTATAGACCTACCTGTGAAAGGGAAAAATCACAAAACTCATAAGGAAAATGTAAGAGAATGTCTTCATGACATTAAGTTCATCAATGATTTTCTTTTTTTTTTCTTTTTTCTTTTATTTATGTATTTATTTAGAGACAGAGTCTCGCTCTGTCGCCAGACTGAAGTGCAGTGGTGTGGTCTCAGCTCCCTGCATCTCCACCTCCTGGGTTCAAGCAATTCTCCTGCCTCAGCCTCCCTAGTAGCTAGGATTACAAGCACCCAGATAATTTTTTATTTTTAGAAGAGACAGGTACACCATGTTGGCAAGGATGGTCTCAATCCCCTGACATCATGATCTGCCTACCTTGGCCTCCCAATGTGCTGGAATTACAGGAGTGAGCCACCATGCCAGCCTCATCAAGGATTTTCTAAATGGAGCACAAAGAGCACCCATGGTAAACAAACACTGATACAATGAAAAAGGCAGACAATGCAGCAGGAAGCCTTGACTCGGTGCTTTCTGGATTTCCAAATGGCCAGGGAGCATGGAAGGGAGCTTCCCTTCATTTTCTCTCCAGAAAATGCAAACTACAACCGTGCAATACCACCACACACCCATCTGATGAGCTGAAATGAAAAAGGCTGACAATTCCAAGTACTGCTGGAAGTGTGGGTCTGTGGAAGCTCTGACACACTGTGGGCTGAAATTCAAACAAGAACAGCCCTGTGGAAAACTGACAGTATTTTCCAAATACCCAGTGACCAAGTGAGTCCACACCTAGGTATATTCCCAGTGGAAAGGCAGGGTTGCCTTTACCAAAATCTATAGAAAAAGTACTCCACAGCAGCACTGTGTGAAAGAACCCCAAACTGAAAACAATCCCAAGATCCATCACACACATCGGTATTAGGGAGTACTGCAAACGCCCAATTTCCATGTGCAGTAACCTGCTGGAATCTCACAACGATGTTGAGCAAATGGCAGACACAACCCATGTGTACTTTACTAAGTGTGGAATTTATTCATGTATATTTACAAACAGCCAGAGCTAATCTATGGTTTAGCAATAAAAAGGGGGTGCTATGAGCTGAGTAGTATACCCTCCAAATTCATGTGTCAAAGTTCTACCTCCCACGCAGTTGGTATTTGGAGATGGGGCTGTCAGGAGGTAAATAGGTTTAGATAATGCCATGAAAGTGAGGCCCTTGTGATGGGATTAGCATCCTTATAAGAAAAGATCAAAGAGTACCTATTCTGTATCTCTCTCTTTCTCTCTCTCTCTGTCTGTCTCTCTCTCTATGTTTTTCCTGCCATGTGTGGATGCAGAGAGAAGATAGCCATCTTCAAAACAGGAAGAAGGCCTTCACCAGAATTCAGCGCTTCTGGCACCTTGAGAGTGAACTTCCAGCCTCCAGAACTGTGAGAAATAAACTTCTGTGGCTTAACTTACTTGGTCTGTGATATTTTGTTGAAGAGCCTGAACAGACTAATACAGAGGGTTACTCTGAGCAGGAGGTAAAGCCTGGGACTCAAGTAAGTTTATTCTTGATTGGAGGTGGCTCCATGGCAGTGTCAGGGTGAAAATTCACTGAGCTGTGTGCACTTAAGCTCCATGTGCTTTTGTGCATGTGTGCTGTGTCTCAGTACGTGGTTCATATGCACTCACAGGCACACACACACACACACACACACACACACACATCACCACTTACTAACTACAAGACATTAGGCAAGTTAATAAAACTCTTTTTCCATTTTTTCTCCAGTAAAGGGAAAAGTGTTCTTTCCTCAGAGGTTGCTAATGAGGATAATAGAATTAATGCATGTAGAGCTCTGAAACAATGCCTAGCACGGAGTAAACACACAACCGCTGTGAACTGTTGCTGGTGTTACGACTGCATGTAGTATACATACATATGCACATATGCATGTATGTACAAGGTATATTCTTTCCACCCCCCTCTCTCTCACACACCGATTTTTGGGTCTGTTTTGTTCACTGCAATAATACCAAATTGGAAGAAAAAACCCAATCAGTATCTTGTCTCGGACACATCCTTTAACAGAAGATTCCCACACCATTCCACAGTCGCCAGGAATTTCTTCTACAAAGTGAATGCAGAAGTTGTGCCATGGGGCCCAGCTGGCTTCTGAGTTCAGCTTCTACCCCAAGTCCAAGGAGCCTGAGCCGCATAAGTAAGGTCAAGAGGGACTAAGATTCTGGCCATGGGAAGGGGTGACAGAGCTACACAGAGATTCATCTTAGTTTTACCAAATTCAGTTTCAATCAGAACACCATTTCTTTATCTGTTCCAGACAATTTTTAAAAAGAAGCATATTTTTAAAATCACCAAATGAAGGTTTCATGGAACAAGTATATGATCCACTCTGACCTTAGGCACAATTAACAGATTTTGGCAATAATCAGGGAAGTTCATCATAATGATAACATGCAGCCATATTAGAGGGATGTCATGGGTTTAATTTGCCTGGAAAGCTTGTGCATATCCAACTGGAACAAAAGGTGTGACGTTCATTCCCTGTCTCAGAGTTAAGATGATTATCTCCTGCAGCCCAGGCCTCTGATACTTGAAGAATGCGTGCTTTGTTCTTTTGTCAAATGAGTTGATTTTCTGCAAAATCAAAAGTGATGAACTAGGTCATCTCGCCAAGATGTAAAAACACACAGTGCCATGGCTCTGCTCTCTCTGTCCTCATCTGATTCACGTTGTTGCTAACTCATGGCTTTCATACTGTGGGAATACCTTCTCCTGGGGGCAACAGTCCCATTTGGGAGGATCCAGCAGGTCCTCTAGCTCTGCCAACCTCAAAAAGCCTCACATTGTGTGCTCCAGCATCTAAAGGCCCTTGGTGACTCAGCATCAGTGACTGACGCTCTATCTCATCAAGACTGGGGTTGCATTGATGTTTGGCTCCAGGTTGCTTCTCACAAGCCGTGGATATTTGTTCCACAAGATGCTTATGGAGCAATTAGTGTGAAGAGCAGCTCTCAGCATGCAGTCCATGCACAGGGGAGCCCTCCAGCTTAAAAATACTGGAGCCTCCAGGGTATGAAAAACAAGAGTGTTTATGAAAACTGGTGGAGCATCAACCATCTGACAGGAGTTTGGTTTCAACAGGAGCTGGGCCTTCTGACTTGGGAGTTCTGAAAGTGCATTCCCAAAGACAGGGCGGGGAGCTGGCTATTGATCCTTTCTTCTTTTACACAAGCACTTCTTCACCGACGAAAGAAATCGACCCTCATCTACTCCTCAGAGCAATTCACTGGCACATCCAATTCTGTGCTGAAAGAAACAGAGTAGAATGGGCCTTCCCTTCTCAAGGGGCTATGGTGCTCAGAGGCTGTGAGACTGTGGCACTTCCTCCCACTTCGTCATCTGCAAACACCGTGGGCAGCTAGCTGCTGCTGTCACTTTTCTCCTGTCCCCCTGCTTCTGGAATCTGTACCTGAGTTCCTATCGACTTCAGGCTCCTTAAACTTCCAGTCTAAACATCTGATAAAATGCATTTTTTTTCATGACTACTTTCAAACAGCAGGATGGTGACTTTTTCCTGCTATACAGATGCATGGGGCACCTGCCATGGGCACTGCCTGGGCACTGGGGGACACTGGAGTCATGGTGATGACAAAGGAGTCCTTGTTTTTAGGGGGATCTGGGGCTTGTGAAGAAAACAGATCATTCTCATTGTCATCATCATCATCATCATGGTAGTAGAAATAATGGTGATTAGCAATCACTGAGTGCTGTTTGAGCATCGATCTATTGAAATAAATAAACCATAAGAGTTGCTATGGTAGAAGGCACACCGGCTTCTAGAAGAACTAAGGAGCACTTTGCACTGAAGAGTGGACAAGCAAGGGAGGCTTCCCAGGGGAGGGGTGCCTGTACTAACCCTTGAGAGACAGGCAGTGGTGGTGCTGCCCAAGGGAATGTCTTGGTTCTTAGGTCCAGAGAAGAGAACCTGGGCCATCATGGGTGTGAGCAGGCCCAGACTTGCATGGGGAGTGTGGGGACTGGTAAGAGAAGAGACCAAGCACTGGGCAAGAGGCAGAGGCCCAGCCAGGAAGGCCTCGGTTTGCCATGAGAAACAGCCAAGGGACAATGGACTGGCCTTGGGGGGATTTGATTGCAGAAAGGACACCTTGAGGCATGTCACTCTGGCCGCCGTGGGGATGAGTGAAGGGAAGACTAAGGCTAGGTCAGGGAGCCGTGTTGGCACAGCTGACATTGTGTAATAATGTTTAACTTTAAATTACCTATCTCCCTTTATTTTTTCAAAACAGTCATCATTTATTTACAAACAAGTGTGGGTTTTTATCATATTTCCCCCAAAAATGCTGCAATATTTGCTTAGAATACATGCAATAATCAATCCGTGCTGAGAAACAACAATAATTTTTGAAGTAGCTTCCTCTTCCCCGTCTTCTTCTCTGCCAGTTAGCCCCTCTCCCTCCCACTTCTCCAATCCAAACCTGTGTGTACAGAACTCTTCCTGAAGTCAGCATGAAATACCAGCTGCTAACTGATTAATCTGAATCAGCTACTCCTTCAAAAAACAGAGTCAGCATTCCCACCTGCAGTGCCAGATACGGTGGCTGTGGCTGTGGCTGTGGCCGTGGCCCACGTGCCTGCGTGCACCTTGCCTTCCGAAGGCTCCCATATGATCAGCTCCTGAAAGAAAGGCTGAACTGGAAAATGGCAGACTTCCCCAGGGAAGAGGTAAAGGTAAAACATGGAGACCAGACTGGGGCAGGAGGGGAGTAAATATAGTTAAACACTTAAAATGCCAGGCCAGCCACCTAAGAACCATTGTGGACCAGTCTTCCCCAGTGGAAAGAGTGCCTCAGAACTAAAAGGGAAAAATATTCTAGGCACATCAGGGGCTTTGGCTCATTTCTAAGCATATGACAGCAGGGAGTCCAAAATACTATTAGTCTTAGCACAGTGGCTCATGACTGTAATCCCTGCACTTTGGGAAGACTGCATTGAGATGTACCACCCACAGATG